CACACACACACACACACACACACACACACACACACACACACACAACACTGACACACAATCACTTGTTCTTTGCCTGTAACAAAGATATTTTACTCCTATTCTCACTTAGGGTTTTTTCTCACCCACATTATATTTAATTTAATATTTTCCTGAATCAAAAAATCTTTTTGATCATGCAGGGATCACTCAGACATGTTCGTCACACATGCAGCAAGTAATTTGCATCTGTTTAACATATGTAAATGAAGGCATGTCAGGGGAGGCATCTCGTGCATTCAGTTCCATGTTAATTGTGAAAATAAATGTGCATGGATTTCGGCGTATGCACAGTTTGATACATCTAGATATTTTTGTGCATACGCCGTTTTCTGGATTTGACCGTATGTCACGTTTCGGTAAGAAATCCATAAAAGTCTTTGTATGTAAATCCCCATGACATGAAATAATGGTTTACTGCATTTTTTAAATTTATTTACATTTTACATGCAAAAAAAAATTACACTAAGCTTCTGGAGATCAGTTAATCACATCTGCAGTCACAGTCAGGTTTTCTAAGTTTATGCACGATGTTGTAATCACAGCCATAGTTAGGCCACAATGAACAGAAGAGTAATTAATTATTTTTCAATGTGTCAAATGTTACAGATCACAGTATTTATCATCCAAAATTATTGATTCATTTCATGTGGTTTTGTGGTTAAATTACCTTTGAATGTTGTTGTATTTTTGTTTGTTTGTTGTGGATAATGACAAACTTTTCCATGACATTCTCATTTTTCCAGGTTTTTATGCACAAACTGAAAATTGCATGGTAGACAGGTTGATGAAGCACACCTAAAAAATGACAAATTGCAAATACCACTTACTGTGTTTTCAGCAGGAAAAACTCATCATCTTAGTGAAAAGCATTCTGTCCCGTTCAGTGAGCTGCAGCACCAGTCTTTATCAAACCAACAGAATATTGCTTTAACGTTCCTGTTCTGAAACACAACATTGCACTTAAGACACGAAAATAATTTTCCAATAACAAGATGATCAGCAGAGTGAATTCCCAGACAGTGTCTGCCTCAGCACTCTTATATTGGATTTGTTGTCTCAGATCTGATAAAACGGAGAGGACGCTGATGTTTGTGAATTTGACTCATCTTTTCTAGCATCCCTAAGAGGGCTGGGAGAGGCTCTCATTCGCATATTTATTGAGAAATACAGATATATTTTTCTGCTTTTGCTTTTTTCAAATCAAAGACCATCAGATAAGAAAAACCGATGCATATATATATAT